CACAGGCTAGCAAACCCGAACCCGGTCCCGTCCCGCTCCCGCCGTCCCCGCCCTCCGGGCCCTACACCATGTCAGGAATCCGGGCAGACACCGAGCTGGGAGCTGACATCACCCCGCGGCCCAGGTACCTCCCCCTCCCTCCGCCGCCCTCTCCCCGCCCTCCCTGCGGGAATCGGCCAAAGAGCGTTCGCAGGGGGCGGGGCCGGCAGCGCCGCGGCTCGCGCTGATTGGGCCCGCGGGCGGTCACTCAGAGGAGCCAACTCATTTTATACATTCCTCGCCGAGCCAGACTAGGGCTGGGAGTGGGTGTTGATGGAAAAAAAAATTAAAAAAAAAATATGCTGCCTTTCCTGCTGTGTCCAAGGAAAGGCGATGGATGGGGAAGAAGCTCGCGGGTCGTGTTTGAAACTTTTCTTGGCGCACTCACTGTCTCCCACGTCAGAAATGAAACTGTACCCACCCGAGTCCCCTTTTTAAGGAAAAACAATTGCCTCTGTGTGACGGGCAAGTACGAGCCCCCGGTGCGTGGAGCAGAAAATGGCTAGCTCTAAGTCAGGCACACGAAGGAAAACGCCAGCTCCCCGCGCTACCCGTTTATCTTGGGACTGCCGGGTGTTCCCCTCGCCGAGAAATTGAGAACTTCAAAGGCACTCGGGGGAAAACTGGAAGCCGGTGCTAGCGAAGGCGACCGGCTCCGAATGAGTAACTTGCGGCGTTACCCGACCCTGCGACTGCTTTTGCTGGGAGTGATGAAAATCGGTCACACGACGCGAGCTTCCAGGCAAATAAAATTGAACCCCTGAAATAACAAAAATTACTGTTTACCGTTTTCACAGCCTCCACGCTGCTGTTTGCATGCACGGCTGAAAGGGAGGGGAACTCACAATGGAGCTGAACAAGCCACATGAGAATAATTACTGTTGAATGGATCCAATTGCGGAGGCTGAGCTATCAATTAAGAATTAACTAACATTTACCCTCGACGGATACCATGCTGTATAATCCCCTCGGCTAACAGAACAGAAAGATTCTCAGGAGATGGTTTCTTTCAATTTGCCTATCTGCTCCAAGGCAGAGCTGAATGGTGAAAATTGGCTCTATTTATATGAGATACAGGTAGCATAGTATCCATCATTTCTGGAAGCACAAGGAAATTGTTATTGACTTTCTGTTGGATTATATTATTTATTTTTGATGGATGACAATGTCACATATTTCACTATCCTGCTAGAAATTGTAAAGGGATGTTGAGCCCAACCCTGTACCTTATTTCATTCTCACAACCATCGGGTAAAGTGAGTGTCGTTAGCCCCATTTTTTAAAATCTAACAGTTTTATATTTTTATAACTTTATTTTGATTGTTGACACTATTACAGATGTCCCACCCGCCCCTCATTAGCCCCATTTTAACATAAGAAGCAAAGGCTCAGCAAGGTTACATAAGTAAATTTCTCCAGAACACCCAGAATGAACCTTGGGCTTGAAACCAAGGTCCATTTAACTCCAAGACCATTTTTTTCTCTTTAAAGCTGTGATTGCCCACAATGTAGACTCATTCTAACACTATGATGCTAAAAAAAAAAAAAAAAAAAAGAAAAAGAAAAGAAAAACCACAGCCCTGGGCCAGTGCTCTCACAAGCCTACTTTTTGTCATTAGCATTGTCAGACCTACACTATTCCAAGCTCCTATCTTAATACTTCTGACTCCATTTCCCCCCAGTTCTATGCGCCCCTACCAGATGAGTTTCCTGAAACAGTTTGGTTTTGCCATCAAGATCTTCCCCTCTAAATCCGGCCCCCCTTTCTCTGCAATTCTTGGCTAGCCATTTAAAACTCTCCCTAATCTGGTCTATTTACCTCTCCCACCTTATCTCCCACTTCAGTCCTGGGAAACACTCTGCTACAGTCAAACTGGTCTCCTCACAGATCTCGGATTGATTCTCTTCTGACCTAACTGGAAACCCCACTCTTCTGTGTGTNTGAATCTGAGAAACAAATGATATAACATATTACAGATGCAAGAACTGCACCAGCCCAGAGCAGTTTTTGGATAGTGTCAACTTTTAGACAATTTGATGACTGATTTAATTATGAAATGGTCAACCTTTAGTAGAAGAGAAATGCTGGCTGAAGGGCAGACACTTTGTTCCCTTCATCTCCAAACAACAACCAGCATCACTAACCTTAACAGCTTTGAATCTGATACTTAAACCCATCTGTTCAACCGTAGTTAAATTAATAATCATAATCATGGCTCCCTGAAAAATTTCACAATTGGCTGCTCAACTGTGATTTTTTTTCTCTCTCAATTTCAGAATATGGCTTTCTAGGGAAACCTCTGGGAGTAAAAAGCCATTGTTACACAATATCTGTTGTTTATGTTTTCACCATGAAGCAACGTTTCTTTAATATAGAATCAAGACACAGCCCCAAAGAGGAATGCATGTGCATTCATTAATTCACTCATTCACTTGTTGTGAAAACGTGAATAAAATCAGGTCAGAAACACGTAATATCTTTGAAAAGATGGATGATGAATGAGGCCTTTTAGTAAACAACTTGGAAAATGTGCTGTTTGGGGTATAGGTACTTTTAAAAATGGGAGATGAAAAACTCAAAAAGTTAATGTACCAAATGACCAACATAACCTAAATTAACTATAAAAGGCAAATATTTCATGAATATGAAAGACAGGTTTTAAAAACAAGTCAGCTAAGTCAGTAACCCAGGGGGGAAAAAAATGACCTTGTTCTGATATCTCTCATGCTGGTACAGAGAGTGACAAAAAGACTGCAGAAACAATAAATGACCTCTCCCTCACTGAACTTGTTTCCAAAAAAGGTCTATGGTGCCCTTGGAATTAGGCACTATTGATCTGGAACTACAGTGTGCCCTAGATTTCAAGTCAACATTGGTCCACAAAGGCCAGATTAGTACATTTTTTTTAACTAGCTACCAGAACAAGTGATAGATGCTGGTCAAAGATAATTTAATCAAAACCTGAGCCTACCTTTCTCAATAACAAACATCTTTCAAGTTTTGTCCTTTAAAAGTACCGTGTTTTACTATACCACGTCTGCCTCATAAACGTAAAAGAGAAATATTGGTTAAAACTAAGTAGGTAAAATTACTGTTATTACTCAAAAAACTGTTAATAAAATTTAAAGCTTTGGCATACTCAAGTCCCTAAGCCAGGGCTAGTTTCTTGAGGGAAAAAGCATAAATCTGAATTTGGCTCATCAGGATAACATCCCAAAAGTATTCTTTACTTGACTGGTTTTTGCAGCTCCATTTCTGGGTATTACAAACTCCATCAGCCAGGGCTCCAGTGATCAGCCCACAGGAATTCCACATCACCTCCTTTTCTTTCCTACTGAAAAATACAGTATGTTTTACGTGCTTCCTATAGAACACAAATAGAAAAGACTTGTCCACCAGTATTTCAGAGCCATGAGGAAATTTCTGTTCTGAGTCTAAAGCACAAACCAAAATTAAAATGTTCCGGCCTTTCCAGTAAAGCACACCTGCCCTTTGCAAAAATCCTGTTCTTTCTCCACCCTGTGCTAATTAATTTTTTCAGAAACTGAGAACAATATAGACCCAGGTGGTTTTATAAACAACGGCAAACAAAATATTCTTTCTAGCTCTGAAATTTAACTGTCATCTGGCTAGAAAGATAGAGAACCCCATCTGTGAAGTCCTGAATCTCCACACTTCCTGACTTGGGTTTATTGGATGTAACGTGGTGGCTTCTTCCTTTCCCCGTCTCCGGGAAATGCCCTTTCGTTCAGGCACTGGGGATGCAGCTTTTGACTCACAATGAAGTCGAAGTCCACGCCCGCCTGTTTCCTCCCAGACCTGGCAACAGAAGGATCCTCACTGTGAGGAACAGTGGTGAATGAAAAGGGAAACTTGACTCAGGAGTCTCAGCCCATACATTTT